AGCTTTCAGTGTTCAAGTCAATGCTTCTTTTTTAAAAGTTATTCCTAAGTATTTTGCTTTTAATTTTATATTAACAGGTTTTTCAGAATTTTATTTTGGGGTTGTTCATTTCTTGTGTGCAAAAATAGAATTTATTTTTGTATCCTGTTAGCTTTGCTGAACTCTTTTATTAATTCTAATAGTTTTTAGTGAATTCCTTACAATTTTCTAAATATCTTAATAAGATCATGTCATTTGAAAATAAAGGTAATTGGACTTCTTTCTTTCCCATCTAGATGCCTTTGATTTATTTCTGTTGCCAAATTTTCCTGGCTAGCACATCCAGCACTATCATGAAGACAGGTGGTGAGAATGGATATATTTATAATATCTTGTTCATGATCTTAAGACGTAAGTATACAGGCTTTCACCACTAAGTATGATATCAACTGTGGGTTTTCATATTCCCTGTATCAGTCCGAGGATGTTCCCTCCCATTCCTACTTTGTTGAATGTTTTCATCGTGAAAAGATGGTAGATTTTATAAAATTCATTTACTGCATCTATTGAGATGGTCATGTGGTTTTGTTTATTATTGTGCTGATATAGTGTGTTATATTAAATAATTTTTAGCTGTTAACCAAGCTTGTATTCCTGGGATGAATCCAACTTTGGCATGGGGTATAATTATTTTTATATGTTGCTGGATTCTGTTTGCTTGTATTTTATTTTTGTGTATATTTTGGAGAATTTTGCATCTATAGTCACAAGATACATTGGTCTGAATTTTTCTTTTCTTGTTTTTTTTTATTTCTTGCTTATTTTTTTTTTTTTAGAGACAGGGTCTGACACTGTTGCCCAGGCTGGGGTGCAGTGGTGCAAGTATAGCTCACTGCAGTCTCAAACTCCGGGGCTCAAGCAAGGGACCCCCCTGCCTCAGCCTCCTGAGTATTTGGGGCTACAGGTATGCACCACCACGCCTGGCTGAGTTTGTATTTTTTGTTGAGATGGGGTCTGCTATGCTACCCAGGTTGGTCTTGAACTCCTGGCCTCAAGTGATCCTCCCACCTCCCAAAGTGCTGGGGTGACAGGCGTGAGCCACTATGCCTCGCTGAATTTTTTTCTTTTCTTATGGTATCTTTGTATGGTTTGGTGTGATATTACTGCTTCATAGAATGAGTTGGGCAGTTTCAATACTACTTGTATTAATATTTTTGGGGGAGTTTGGAAAGAATTGATATTAAATCTCCAAATGTTTGGTAGAATTCACCAGTGAAGTTTGTGGACATGAGCTTTTCTTGGTGAGTTATTTTTTATTATTAACACAGTGTCTTCACTGAGACAATTCTATTCATATTATTCATTTTTGGGGTAAGTTTGGGTAGTTCATATGTTTCTAGTAATTTGTCCATTTCATCTAAATTATCTGATGTATTCACATTCCATTGTTCATATTATTCTTCTCTAAATATTTTTTTATTTTTGTAAGGTTGGTAGTCTCATCTTTCTTTTTTTATTTTTTTGAGATGATCATAAAACAGCACCATGTTTAATTTCTAATTTTTAGTTTAGTCTTCTGTCTGTTTTTTGCTTGGTCAGTCTAGCTAAAGGTTTGTCGATTGTGTTGGCGTTTTGTGAACTTGCTTTTGGTTTCATAGTTTATTGTTTTTCTATTCTCTATTTGACTGATTTCTGCTGTTATCTTTTATTTTTTTCCCTCTGCGCACTTTCAATTCTGTTTGCTTTTCTTCTTCCAGTGTCTTAACACGGAAGCTTAGGTTACTGATTTCAGGCCGGGCACGGTGGCTCAGGCCTGTAATCCCAGCACTTTGGGAGGCTGAGGCAGAAGGAACAGCCTGGGCAACATAGTGAGACCCCTATAAATAATGATCATAAAAAAATCTCTATAAATAATAATCATTAAAAAATTAGTCGGGCATGGTGGCACGTGCCTGTAGTCCCAGCTACTCGGGAGGCTGAGGCAGGAGGATCGCTCGAGCCCAGGAGCTTGAGGTTGCTGTGAGCTAGGCTGACGCCAGGGCACTCTAGCCCGGGCAACACAGGGAGACTCTGTCTCAAAAAAAAAAAAGAAAAGAAGCAGAAAAAGAAAAAAGAAAGGTTATTGATTTGAGTTTATTCTTCTTTCTTAATATAGATATTTAAAGCTATAAAGTTCCGTCTAAGCACTGCCTAGCTGCCTTCCAAATTTTTTATATATTGTATCTTTATATTCAGCTCTCTATTTTCTAATGTCCCTTTTGATTTTTTCTTTAACCCTTTTGCAGTTTTTGAAGTGTGTTGTTTAATTCCACATGTTTAAATTTCCTGCTAGCAGAGCGCGCTCTGGCGGGTTGGGGGGAGTGCGGACCTGGGGTGGTGCCGAGCGGCGGCTGAAGGGGCGCTCGCGTCGTGGGGGCAGCGGGGGAGTCCCCAGGCCCCAGAGGCTCCCACGCCGGTGAGGGCTTCTTTCTGGTTCCCACCTGGGCTGCAGAACCAGCACTGGCCACCAGGGGGCGGCAGTGCCCGCCGTGCGCAACTGCGCCCCCAGAGCCGGGAGCCCCCCAAGGTCGCTCCGCCGCCCCTGCCTCCGCCCGGCCACGCGGGCCGGAGCCCTGTCCCCACGGGGTCCCAGAAGCCGCGAACCTTCCCTGCCAGCAGGAGCCTGGAGCGAGAAGGGCAGGCAGGGGCGAGGGGCCCGGGGCCCCGAGAACTGCTGACTCTGGGGCGCACAGCGCGAGCACCAAGCGTAGGCCGAGGGCTCAGGGAAGGGAGTGTCCACGCCCTCCCCGTGGGCTGGTGGTCCCGGCCAGGCCTGCGGTTCCCGAGGCGGAGCCCTTCCCCTCGCCCGCACTCCCCGCCGCCTTCCTCGCGCAGCGGGGCGCGAGGCCCTGAAGCCCGGGCTGGGCTAGCCGGGCCTGTCCTCCCCGCCTGGGGCCCAGGGCAGCCGCCGGCCTCTGGCCTGGGCTTGTGCAGGACCCCAGCACCCTCAGCTGCCGCCCCCGCCGCGGGAATGGGGCTAACGCCGACGCCCAAGCCCCGGTGACGGATGAGCGGAAAGGGAAGGAAGAGGCCTTGGGTGTGGCCGTGGGGTCGCCCCAGACCTGGGATGTGGGTTCCAGGGCCTGGGTAGGAGCCTGAGGCTGGCCCTGGGGGAGGGAGGTGCCCTCTCTGGGGACCGCAGCCCCGGACGCAGGGAGACTGGCTTTGCCAGGGCTCGGCGACGTGCCCGGGGAGGCGCGGCCCTGCCTCAGCCCCCGCAGACGCAGTGGCGACGGCAGACAGCAGTCGCCCCGCTGCCCGGCACGCTGCGCGCCCGTCTCGCTGCTGGGCCTTCGGCGGTCCTGTTCCCTGCCAGGCCGGGGCTGCGCACACGCGGCGGGACCTGACTCCTCCCCCTGGCCTCCCGGAGGAACGTGGGCCACCGCCCCTCCCCGCCTCCCCGTGTCTGCGGGAACAGCAGTCCTTGCGCCGTTTCCACCTGACGTTAGGTCTGAGCCGTTCCTGACCCTTGCCTTTGGGCGTTCCGGGCCCCGTGCGCCCAGCTGCCCTTCCTCACCATCTCATCACGCTTGGCAGAGCAAGGGCTCACCGAGACCCTGCGGCCCGGCGACCGGGCTTTCCACCAGGGAGCCGGCTCACCGTGGTGACGGGCTGCAGTGCTCCAGGGGCGACTCCTGTGAACGCCCTCGTGCGTGCTAATTCCCTGCTGCACTCCGCCGCCCCAACAGACTCCCAGGCAGGGTGGTCGGGCAGAGGGCGCCCATTTTAAGGCTTCAAACGGGCCTTCCGCCCTGCTCCGACCCGGCCCAAGAGTTAGCGTCCTTTCTCATTCTCGCCGAGCTAGAGGCCAGGAGTTGCCACCTATGAACAACACGGCCCACCAGGTGCTGGCCAGGCCGCGAATTGCCACTCCCGGGCCTGCTGCTCACAGCCTGCACCCGGGACCCTGTGGCATCTCTTTCTCGCCGCACCTCCAGCTGCCTCAGTGCGCCCCTTGGAAAGAAAATAGTACCCAACTGCGAGGCCAAGGAGGCGCTCACCGCAGTGTCTGCACAGGGCACAAGGGTCCCCAGCCACCCTGTCCGGAGCATGGGAGGACCACACAGCCCACTGCTGGATGGCTGGTGGGCTGTGACCCGCGAGACCTCGTGCTGCCTCTTGACACCACGAAGGCGGTTTCTTCATTTCTGCCATAGCAATCCGGTCCTTAACACGGGATCTTGGGCAGGGAGGAACCATCCTCGTTTAAATGACTTGAAGGTGCTGATATTTTGAGTTATTCCCCAACCTTAATCTTTTGTTTTTTTGAGACAGGGTCCTTCTCTGTAGCCCAGGCTGGAGTGCAGTGGGCTGATCACAGCAGCTCACAGCAACCTCAAACTCAAACAATCCTCCCACCTCGGCCTCCAATCCCAACAGTGCTGGCATTATAGGCGTGAGGCACAGTACCCAGCTTTCTGCTGGGCTCTCACGCCCCTCCTGTGCTCAGTCACTGAGGTTTGGGTGCTGGGTCAGCCCCAGCCCAACCTCTTGGAGGTCACACGTGGTGCCACTGAGCTCTGCTGCACAGGACGGTGGGCAAGGAAGGCGCACTGGAGAAGCTGGCGGGGTCCCCGTCCCCACCACCTGGGCCACACCCCCTCAGGCCTTTGCCACCACCCAGCAGGTGCCGGAGCTGCTGCTCACTGTGCCTCAGGCACACCACCACCCTGCCAGCCCCAGCGCACTCCTGAGGAGCAAACTCAGGTTCAGGGACTAGACGGTTAAGCTCGCCGCCATGCATGTCCACCTCCCTCTGTACTGGGAGGGAGCCTCTGCCTCAGCCCTTGCTGGCCTGCAGTTTGGGCAACGCTGCGTCTCCATATGTAGAACAGGCGTGAGATGCCACCTCAGGGTCCCTGACCTTGGTGCAGCCAGACCCGGGAGGGACGGGTGTGGGGCACCGGCGAAGGCATTGGTTGGAGTCCATTCATTTGACAGACACAAGACATGCCTACTGTGTACAGCTGCTTTTCCAGGCACTCAGCATAATTCATTTAACAGAACAGACGGAAGTCCCTGCCCTCCCGGGTGTCCATCCTGGCCAGGAGTCAGGCAGCAGCAGGGGACGTCGGCGCAGTCAGACACGTCCTCCACTCCTGGGGTGGGGACGGCAGACCCAGGGCCAACTGGAAAGAAGCGGACTTGGGGTTGAGGACACACAGGCAGAGCCCCGGCCCCCACCCTCGCGGTTCTTACTAGAGGGCCAAGATCTGGGGCATCTCCTGCTGGAGGGGGGAGCCACAGAGCCACGGACGGCCCCCAAGAGCCCATGCCCCATGGTGCAAAGTAGGCTGCTGGTCCGCTGTGCCTCCGTGGGGGCCAGGACAGGGCCGTGGTGAGCAGCCCGCTCACGCCTCAGCCACCGTGCCCAGCGTGCAGCGGCAGTGGAAGACTCACCGCGCAGAGGGCGAGGTGCGTGAGCTACAGGTAGAGGTGCCGCGTGGGGGACACGCAGCCCACCTGCTCCCTCCTCCCTCAGGGATTTACGGGCACCTGCTAGGCACAGCAAATGTGACTAACAGCAGCCACAGCCCCTCTGGGCCCAGGACGCAGTCCCGGAGGGCACAGGCCACTAGTGGGAGGCTCCTTGCCACTTCAGTTCAGAGGCCAGGCCTGCCATGTGGGGGCCACGAGGAAGGAGCGCCCAGGTTGCAGGCTCTGTGGCCCACCTCTGCCCCGGCCCAGCCTCCCTCACGGGAGGGTAGGGCAGGCCCGGCTTCCTGTCTTAGGCCCTGGTGAGCACGTGGCAGCTCCCACCACGAGGAGGCGCCTCCAGGGCAGGCAGACGGGATGCACACGCCCCTCGGCTCAGATGTCCTGGCCTTCGCTAGGCATGCGGGGACTCCAAAAACCCCAGTCACGACGCCACCCAGCCCAAGCTCTCCCAGGCTTGCTGCAGGTCAGCGAGACCAGCACCCACCTGGCACCCTTTCAGCGGATCCAGGGTCCCTGACCTCGCCAGGCCCTGAGAACAGGGGCCTGGACAACGGCCATGGACAGCCAGGACTGCAACGGACCCATAGGAAGGGCCATTCCTGGGACACCCAGGCCACGGTGCTCGAGGTGGGGAGGGCACTAAAGGACTGAGGTGACAGCAATGGCCTCCTTCAGCTGCCGCAGCAGCTCCTTGGGCTGCAGTGAGAACATGCTGGTGTCCACTCTCTGGAAGTCAGGGTGCTCGACCACAGACGCCAGCACCTCCGCGATGCGCCCGACATCGAACGCTGCCTGCTCGGTGCCCAGCTCAGCACCTGAACTGGCCCCTGCCGTGCCCTCGCCCAGGACGAGCAGCCTTCTTTCGGCGATAACCTTGAGAAAGTGGTAGAACTCTTCGAAGTTGATGCCCGAGCAGGACCGCATGATGACCTGGGCCAAAGGGGAGGAGGCCCGTGAGCCAACGGCTACAGCCCCAGGCTCTAAGGGCCCCAGACATAGGCCCAGTCCTTGATGACAGAGCAGGGACCAGTTAAACCGAGGCATCAAGAGGCTGGGCACTCTCAGGGCTGCCCCAGGTGGACCCGTCACCCACACAGCTGGCGGCCAGGCACAGCCAGGGCCTTACGGGCCCGCCCTCCCCCTCCCCCTCTCCCTCCCCTGGCTGCAGGTCATCGTGCCTGGCCTTGGAGAGTCCTTGCCCCACAAGCCCCGCTGCCTGCACCCTGCGGGGCAGGCTGCCCCACAAGCCCCGCTGCCTGCACCCTGCCGGGCAGGCTGCCCCACCTGGCAGTGGCGGTCCCAGTCAGGCATGGAGTCCCTCCACTCGCCGATCTCCTCCTGCACGGCACGCAGCTCCTGCTGCAGGAAGTGCCACATGCGGGCCAGGTTGAAGCCATTCACCCAGTTGTGGTTGACGGAGATGGTGTCGTCCTGGGAGGGGCAGAGCACAGCTGCCCAAGAGCCCACAGCGGGTTTCCCTGCCTGGCCCGCCAAGATGACCAGGACCTCAGAACACACCACAGGGGCCCAGCCCTCTGCCACCAGGAGGGGCCACTCCCACCTTCCAGCAGTGCCCTCCCAGCAGGGAGAGGATACTGCTGAGAATATCTCAGTCCACAGCTAGCCAAGCGCTCATGGGGCCCAGGGGAGGAGCAGGCAGGGAATGGGGCCTCAGGACACCACGTAAAAGGACCACCTCGCCTGCAGGTCCCCGAGGAGGGCCAGGGCAGGTGCATGTTCCAGTGGGGAGACAGGCTGCTCCAACCCAGGTGGCCTTGCCAGTCTCACCAGGTTGTGGACTTGGTGGTGCCACCCGCTGGGTACGAACAGCATCTCGCCTGCCTCCTGTGTGACCTCCAGGGGTGGGCCGCAGTGCTGGCGCCTTGGGTACAGATGGGCATCGAGAAGCGAGGGGGAGGTCACGTCGTAGGGCAGGCTGCCATGGCGGTCCCGCAGGGCCTCCTCCTGCCCTGGAGGGAAGAGAAGCCACTTCTTCCTCCCACAGATGTTGACGGACCAGCTGAAGGAGCGGAAGATGTCAGCGTGGAACGGAGACCTGCATGCGGCGAGAGCTCCTGGTTTGTGCCTCGGAGCATCCAGCGTGGGCTGTGCTCCTTCTGAATGAGTTACCTCCAACTGAGGGAAGGGCAGCCCATTATTCATGCGGGACAGACCCCAGCTCTCACACCTGTGCCAAGCTCTCTCCTCCTGCTGGCCTGGGCCCATAAGCCAAGTGGGCAGCCACAACGCCCCCAGCCCCACGGCCTCACCAGCTGCCCTTGGGCCCAGCGTAGACAAATCGGTAGTCGTCCACATCCAGGGCATCCCAGAACTCGTTCAGCCAGTCGGAGGAGAAGTACACAGGCAGGGTGAACACATCCTCCACTGAGGAGTCCCTGTGGAGAGGGCAGGAGGCTTGGCAGGGCCCACCTCCCTGCCCTGCCCCACCCTGGCAGGCTTGCCCACGCTGGCAAGTGAGACGTGCAGCAGAGTTTGGTATTACAGGAGCTGGGCCACCTGAGACCACCCAGCTCCATGGAGCCCCCAGGGGGCCAGGCTGAGTCCCACTCAAACTCCTGACCACAGAACTGTAAGCCACTAAGGTGGCTTTGGGAATGGACCGCGATAACGCACAGACAGCTCACACAGGCAGCAGCCCCCCGGCACCAGTTCCACGATTTTGGCCTCTGGCTGAGCCGGGGCTCTCAATGTACCACTGGTATCATCATCGTTCCCAACTATGGGTTTCCTTCACTCTTCACTGACCCCAGTGAACCCAACTCTGCCTGGTGGATGCCAGGCCACAGACCCAGGCATGAGGGCTGCCTATTTACCCTCCCAACCCTCCCTCCCTCCAGGTCCACCTCCACGACCCCAATAATGAGCACCCAAACACAGGTATGTTAAACCAGCGTGGAGCAAGGTGCAACTGCAGCAACACCATGCAGGAAAGAACTTCTGGACCCACTCACACGTGACTCCTCGTCAGAGACAGTGACAGGAAGAGAGCCCCAGTAGCAACAAACTGCATGTAGTTCTCCAAAACACCATGCTGGTCCCTCTGCCTGGCCTGCCTTTGTGCACCTGACAAACTCCTATTTATCCGTAAAAACCCTGCTCAGGGGTTATCTCTCCTGTGGCCTCCCCTGAATGCCTGACCCCAGGCCTTCCTCTGCTCTCTTTATTTTTTAGGGTGCCAGATAAAATACAGGACACTTGGTAAAAACTGAGTTTCAAATGAACAATTTTCTAGTATATCCCATGTAACATCTGGGATATACCAAGATGCCAGCAATATCTGGGATGTACACATACCAAAAACCCAGCTATCTAAACCCCAAATCCACAGTGCATGACTGTGTTTGGGTCTATGTGTCTGTCTCTGCCACTGCAACAGGAGATCCCTGGAGCCAAGACAGTGTCTGGTCACACCTGGCCCACAGTGTACCCGAGCCAGCTCTCTGCACCAAGGAGCAGCAACGTGACGGAGAAGAGCCGAAGTGCTGGTGCTTCTCATGCACTCTAGATTGGCCATGGCAATCACAGGGGCCTGAATTCTATCTCCCTCTGCCTTTCTAAGCTTGCTATGTACATAAGCAAGACAAGAATTCAACTGTTTGCTGATTTACTCAACGGCAATCAAGCACCTACTCTGAGCCAGCTGATGGTCTCACTAAAATGGTCTCTGCTCATGAAAAGGTGTGGACCTTCCCAAAGAGCAACACTGCCAACCATGCTGAAGACAGCCGCATTTCTTTTAACGTGATCTAAATTCCTAACTGGGAAAAAAAGAGCTCCTTTTTGTGCAGACAGGGGCTACCACCAGGTTCACACCTCTGGGTTCACGCAGGAGTCAGGAAGGTGGTGCCATAGCCGGCACCCGTTTACCTGCACAGGTGCCAGTCTTTCAGGTAGAGGCAGCCCCTGGGAGAGGAGTAGCCCCCGTGGATGTACTCTTTCCAGTAGGTGATGTAGTCTCTGAGGGGCATGTGTTCTTTGGGGTTCGAGTTGTATTCCTGGACCCCGCAGTTTGCAACAGGTACAACCACATCTCCTGAAACAGAAGGGTCGGGCACAGACTGTGCTGACAAGCCTCCATGCTGCCAATCCCCTGGGCTCCATCCGCCCTCCAAACCGTTTGTAGAGGAAATCTCCAGGGCGCCCGGGGCTCTAGGCACCTGCTGTGATGCCCACGGTTTGCCCTGTCCCAGGAGTCTGGGCCTGGGCTCTGACGCTCATGGCTCAGTTTGCCTCATTCCCGGGAGTCAGGACACTGGCCCCGCCACCCCGCCCTCACCGTAGGCCTGCAGCAGGTGGTCGAAGTCCGGCCTGCCCGCGGGAGTCACCCAGCGCCGCCGGCCGCCCCAGCCCTCGGTAAAGGCGCCGGAGAACACGCAGGGCAGGTTGGGCAGCAGGAAGCCGCGGACGAAGTCGGCGTAGGAGAAGGCGGCGGGCTCGGGGATGAAGGCCACGCGCGCCGGGGCTTGGCCGCCGCACCCGCCGCCTCGGAAGTGGCGCTCGGCGAGGGAGCGCGTCTCACGGTCCATCCGGCCCGGCAGGGGAAACTCGGGGGTCACTGGGGGTATCCCAGCCCGGGCCGGGACGCCGGCGCCCAGGTAGCGCTCCTCACATCCGGCCAAAGCGGAAAGTGCAGGCGCGGACACGGAACCCGGAGCCAGAGGGCGCCGCGTTTCCCCCGGACCCGAGCCCCGGGAGCCGCCCAACACGCATGCGCGCGGCTCGTCGCGGCCCCGCCCCCGCGCAGGCGCCAAGCGCTCCGAGCGCCGCCGACCGGCTGAGGTTTGCGTCCGGTGTCGGTGCTCGTACCCAGTAGGCGCGCGGAGACTCTCCGTCTTCGCGCCCCCCGCGGCGCCTGAGGAGAGCGGGGCGGTAGGGTGCGGTGGGCCTGTGACCGAGCCCTTCCCGCTCGCCCTCGGCACAGTCTGCCCGCTGTGGCTGACACGGTACGAGCCCTCGGCTTCCCGAGGCCCAGGGGCTGTGAGTGGGGAGTAGGGAGGTGGGCTGGGCCGAGGATGCGGCAGAGGGCTGGAGGTGGGATCCTGGGGCATGGGCGTGGGGGGATCTGGGGCCATAGGGGGATGCCGGGACCTAGGAGGACTGTGGGGACCTGGATGGGATAGTGCGGTCTGGAGGGGATGCTAAGGGGATGCTGGAGCCCTGGAGGGGACGATGGGGACCTGGAGGGCAGGCTATGGACCTGGAGGGGTGGTGGGGACCTGGAGAGGATATTGGGGCCTGGAGGGGATGCTGGAGCCTGAAGGGGACGCTGGGGACCTGGTGGGGACACTGGGGTTTGGAGGGGGCTCTGGGGACCTGGAGGGTACACTGGGGTTTGGGGGGATGGGGCCTGGAGGGTACACTGGGGTTTGGAGGGGGTGGTGGGAACCTAGGGCGTACGCGGGTGTCTGGGGGGGTGGGGCCTGGAGGGTACACTGGGGTTTGGAGGGGGTGGTGGGAACCTAGGGCAATGGCGGGTGTCTGGAGGGGCAGCAAGGGAATGTGAGAGTGCCTGAAATAAAGGCCTGGGGAGCGAGGGTGTGGATTTGGAAGTGGGCACACAGCAGCAGGTCTGAAGTGGGGGGACCTCTGAGGGTGATGTTTTTTGTCCTGCCAAAACTGATTGGAGTACCCCTAAAAGTGGCGACAGTGGAGTTCCCATAAGGGCGTACCCCTGACCATCTGGAGATGGGGAAGGTTGGGGTTCTTCAGGAAGAAGACCTGAGTGCCAGGGTGGTCAGTCCAGAGCGTTTATTCGGGGAGCTTGCGCACAGAGGTGCTGCCGTGCGTCTTCGCTGTGGACAGTGAGAAAAAAGGGGTGTCCTACCTAGGTGTGGGCTGGGGGTCAGGGTATGCAGTCTGTGTGAAGGTTTAAGGAATTTGGCTCAGGCCTGAGGCCAGTTTCTTTCTAGCAAACCCACATACCTTTCCCGGCTCCTGGGAATGTTCAAGGCCCTGGTTTGGGGGAAACACCTGCAGCTGGCCAGGTCACAGAGCAGTCAAGTCACTGTGATTTTCAGTCAAGACGCAGAAAGAAAGTGGGGGGAACTGAGCGACACTAGAGGGAGTTGTCTCAGTGTGTTACAGAGTCTTGGCGACTCAAACCTACCCACATTAACACAGAGAAGAAGAAGGATTTATTACTGCGTAAGCCCGGCGTCACACACGAGGGCGGTCTGCGGGAGAGTATAGGGTCTGGGCAGCCTTGCACAGTGGAGTAGAAGGAAGTACAATGAAAACCTCTCTCACCTGCTCGAGAGAAACTTGATGCACCTATGCCAGGCTCCTGCACCCAGCGAGAGACCTCTCGGTCAGTTTTGGAGGTCTGTGTTGATGGTCTGAGGGTCGGCGGGCTGAGGCTGTGTCTTGTAAGATCTGGAGACCAGGGTGTCTAATTCCTGACCAGGAAGAGACACCCTAGGGGGTGGGAGGGCAACTGCCTTCCCTTTATCAAGCGATGCAAGTGTTTTATTCACCTTTGCTGGCAAGCAGGGATAAGAGAGGTCCTGGGGTGTTGGGACAATTTCCAAGGGGCATGGAGTTTACCCAGAAGGAGGACAGGGAAGATCAGAGGAGGGGAGGATGAGGTCTGGGGGTGTTGAGGAGGGTGGGGGGAGTTGCTGGTGGGGTTTGTGTGATTCCCTGTGTGCTGTGGTTCCTTCCTGGCGGGTTTCACTGTGACTTGCGTGGTCAAGGTATGGAATTCTTTATTGGGTTAGGTGTGGTGGAAAATGAAAATGCTTGGACGAGTTAAGATTGAGAAAAAATCACCCATAATCCTATCCACAAAAGACCTTTTTTTTTTTTTTTTTTTTGAGACAGAGTCTCACTGTGTTGCCCGGGCTAGAGTGCCGCGGCGTCAGCCTAGCTCACAGCAACCTCAAACTCCTGGGCTCAAGCGATCCTCCTGCCTCAGCCTCTCAAGTAGCTGGGACTACAGGCACGTGCCACTATGCCTGGCTAATTATTTCTATATATTTTTAGTTGTCCAATTAATTTCTTTCTAATTTTAGTAGAGACGGGGTCTCGCTCTTGCTCAGGCTGGTTTCGAACTCCTGAGCTCAAACAATCCGCCCGCCTCGGCCTCCCAGAGAGCTAGGATTACAGGCGTGAGCCACCGCACCCGGCCAGAAGACCTTTTTTAAAAAAAATCTTTTTTTTAATAGTTTAGGAGGTCAAGTGCAGTTTTGTTACGTGGATATATTGCCTAGTGGTGAAGCCTGGGCTTTTAGTGTAACCACCGCCATTAGTGTACAGCATACCGGCGAAGTGATTGCATGTCCTTCTTCCCTCCCCCACCAAGTGTCCACTGTCCATCGTTCCGCATGCTGCTTCCATGTTCTCACTTATAGGTGAGAACATGCAGTATTTGACTTTCTAAGTTATTTCACTTAAGGTAATGACCTGCAGTTCTATCTATGTTGTTGCAAAAGACAGACATGATTTCTTTTTTATGGCTGGATAGTAGTCAGTTGTGTATATATGCCACTTTTTTTTTTTTTTAAGAGACAGGATCTCACTCTGTCACCCAGGTTGGAGTGCAGTGGCATCATGATGTCTCACTGCAACCTCGAACTCCTGGGCTCAAGCGATCCTCCTAACTCAGCCTCCTAAAGAGCTAAGACTACAGGTATGTACATGCCACCAAGCCCAGCTAATTGATTTTTTGTAGAAATGAGGTCTTGCTAGGCTGGTCTCAAACTCCTGGCCTCAAGGGCTCCTCCTGCCTCAGCCTCCCGAAGTGCTGGGATTATAGGCCTGAGCCACTGCACTCAGCCTCCGTGTTTTCTTTATTCAGTCCTCTGCTGACGGGCACTTAGGTTGAGTCCACATCTTTGCTATTGTGAATAGTGCTGCGATAAACATGTGAGTGCAGGTATCTTTTTTGTGTATTGATTTCTTTTCCATGGGGTAGATACCCAGTAGTGGGGTTACTGGATTGAGTGGTAGTTCTATTTTTAGTCCAGAGAAGAACACTTTATATTTTCTGGTATAGAACTTAACCTTTCCAGGCACGCATTCATGCATGTATGCATTCTACTCGTTTGTGCAAGTATTCTCCCTTCCCCCCTGCTCTCTCCTTGGCCCCTCCCTGTGTGTGCACATACAGACGCACACGCACGCATGCAGGGTCTCTGTCTCCACACCATATACTGTATATGTGTGTGAGCTTATGGATGTAAACTTGCTGTTTTTAACCTTTTTTTGCTTTTCAATCTACAATATTCTCTGCTATCTTGCCACATATTGACCAGATGCCCCGTAATTATTAATTAGGTGTTTGATTACAGCTGTATTGAGTATAGATGTGGGAGGCAGATGGGAAGGAGGTGGGAACAGAGTGTTTAGTGCCATCTCAGGACCTGGGAGGTATGGTCGGAAGTCTGCGTCGTGGGAAGTATGAAATTCAGATAGGCATTGCCCGTTTCCTGGAAGCAGTTCCTGTAGCTCTGTGGTCGAGACCCAGTTTGCTGAGAAAGGTGAGGTTGGGCCCAAGACCACGGGGCAGTGGAGCCTGTGACCCTGGGAGGGAGATGGAGGCTGGTTTCTCGAGCACTCCCTCTGGGCCAGATACTGTGTGCATTATTTCCCCTGGTCCACACGGTGGCCCTGTGGTGTCAGGATTACCACCCTTGTACTCAGGAGGTGTTACTGATACACAGGTGTGTGTCACCCCGAGGCCTATAGAGCAGCCCTGGGAGCTGGTGAGACATGAATATTCTCAGCCCCACCCAGCCCCACAGAATCCAACCCTCGGGGCAGGGCCAGCTGGAAAGAGGACAACAGGAGGGGCTTAAAGTCAGCACCTTGGGGGAAATGCAGTGGGAATGGTGGGAGATCTGTGCTCTTCTTTGACAGCCCCAGCTGGCCTGTCAGAACCTCCAGGGCTGGAGCTGGGAACCTCTGAGGGAGTGGGAGGCCGGTCTGCAGGAGCAGGAGGGCAGGTCATGGAAAAGCCAACAGCGCCTGCCGCCCCCGCCATGCACACACAGCTGCCACTGTTCTTGCTCGGAGCCTTCTCGTGGTCGTCAGTGCGTGGAAGGTGTGCAAAGTGTTTCTTGTTATTTGACACTGGAAATTAACTAAAAATAGGTTGTTTACTCGACACTGGGTCTCACTCAGGGCGCACATGAGTGATGGAAATGCTGAAAGAGATCTATTATGCAAATCGCCATGATGAAGAGTGCAGTCCAGGTGACCGTGGACGCCTTCCCCAAGAGCGTCACTTGTGTGGGTTGACCTTAGACACCCTTGGGCCCCGCGCCGTGGCTTCCCTCACTGATTCCACTGGGTGTTCTCAGGGTCAGTGCAGGTCCCCAGGTCCACATCTGCACTGCTGGAGGCAGGTTGCAGATTGCAGCCTGCAGGGACCAAATGAGAACTCAGCATGCATCGCCCAGTGGGCAGCGTGTGAGGGAGGGACACGGTCCTGGGTCCTCGTGACGTGTCTGTGGCCCACTCGGCACATGGTGTGTGGGCATCGTGCACAAGACCCCTCCTGTGGCAGTCCCCTTCTCTAGTAGGACAGCCGCGAGAGCACCTGCTGGGCTCTCTGGTGCTGTGTGAGTGCTATGGTTGGCGACG